TTTCCATTTTTGGAGTTAGAGAAGGATCTACAAGGACAATAAAAAATTGTGGGACTAGGTGTCTTGCACTATATATATATATTTTTCAATTTTGTTCCCATATATCAGTATAACATTAACTATTCTATAGATTATCTTCTCGTTTTATTAAAAATGATTCAACTAGAATTTACACAAAAAATGAATCGCGTTTTAAGTAACATATACTTGATAAATACACTATAATCATTAAACTTATTATAATCGCTAAATATGTCAAACTTAAATATCACTATTATATTGGATAAAAAAGATAGAACGTTACCTAAACCCTTTAATAATAGACCAGGGTATGATATGAAATACGTTGCTTCATATGTCTCAAATTATGCTGGTTTTAAATTTAATGAACTCTTTGATACTGAAAGATTATATGACAACTTGTCTATCGTTCGAAATGATGAAAATCTTATCCAATGGGCTGTGCGGGTTAGAATCAATCTTCAAGAATTGTTAATAAAACAAAAATTTAGCGTATATCATAACTTCTGTCTATTCGCTTTTTACCCTGGAGGTAAGTTGGAAGATTTTAATTATTATAGACCCAAACCATTTAAGAATGGAACCGCCATTTGTTTTGGTTGTTGGAAGGTAATTCGTGTTAATGTAAACGTAAAACCTAGGAAAATATTCCATTATTCTAGAAGAAGATTTGTGGATATCGTCGAACCTAGAGATCTGATGCTGGATCATTGGGATCACGAATGCGATAAACCTAAAACTGATTTTGGGCGTGCAAGAATTATACAACGGGCTTGGAGAAACTTCAAGAAGAGTCCTGGATCCTCCTTGACGAAAAAAGTTTGGAATGCAGTAAGAAATGATGATACTCCCAACGAAGAGAAATTTTTAGGTATAACTGCTCGCAAAGTAAAAAATCTTTAAACTCGAGATCAATTCAATCTATGGCGTAATAATATTATCACAATGTATAAAAAAGAAAAAAACTTTGATATGCTCTACCTCTATCAAAAAAGATATGAATATGAAGAATATTATATTCCATATGGTTCCAAGAAACATCAGTTACGGCGAAGATTGAGTAATCATCTTGAAGAGTTGTTAAAAGAACAAGGCTATAGAGTAGTTTGTGCGAGATCTTGGTATGTTATGGTAAAATGGATTGAGAATCCAGATTATTATGCAAATCTCACATATCCGAATATCGTTAGAATATAATATGTTACTACAATTTTATTCATCGCTATTCCTGAGATAATGGTATCTTTTTTTATTGATAACTTTGTTGAATGCTCCAGTTTACGAGCTTTGATGGTATATTTTTTCATACAAACTCATTTCATATGACACCATATTAGATAGAATGTGCGTTTTATCTGAAATATATATCTACCTCGATTTCAACAACGGCTGGATACGTGCATCTCTACAGAGTGGCGAGTAAGATATATACTATATACTATATTCTATATATATAAAAATAGCGGGAGAAATATTATTATTTGATTAAACTTGGACATCTTTTTTATATGAAATCGAAGAAAAAAAGTTACAATTGCAGAGGATAAAGATAAGTTATTCAAGCTTAGCGGAGTTAGTTTCACTAAAAAATCTCGATCATAATTTATTTTCTTTATTACGCTATTAATGATTTGATCTCTTCTTCCAGATCTAGAGGATTCATCTTCAATTTTTTGCAAAAGTGATCAGCATGATTTTTAGCTGTGCTAGCTTCGCTATTTTATTTTGAATATATCGACCTCTTATATAAAAAAATATTATTGATAATGTCGTCAGAGCTTGATTTATTGAGACAGCGACTTTCCAGACTTGAGGCTAAAAATACTAAACTTGAGGCTGAAAATACTGAATTAAAACGAATCATAAAAGAAATTGGTAATCTTAGGATCGAAAATGCAAAACTAAAACAGATCATAAAGGGAAATCAAACTACGAATGATAATGCACCAAATTCTGAAAAAAAACGACCCATTCGTACAGATCCTAAATCGACGGAAGATAAAAAGATTGACGATTCTCCAGATTTGATAGGAAAAGAAAGCGTTAGTAATATGATGGAGGAGAGAAACAGAGATAAAAAGATTCAACGAGAAATGGTTATCCAGGACTCATCGAAGAGTAGTTCAGAAACTATTCTCTCAAAAAATGATCAGGATACGCATTTATCAGCTCCAAAAGAACGACTCTCTGAGTCATGTGATTCAAAAACCGTGACAAAATGTCTAGGGATGGGGACGGTTTATGACACGTCCGGCGACGAATAATATTTTTATAATTGATCCGTGACGATTAATATACTAAATTATAAGTAACAATTAATTTGTCTTGTTTTGGCAATATAAATGTCACCTGCAATTTAGTATATTAATCGTCACGGATCAATTATAAAAATATTATTCGTCGCCGGCCGTGTCATAAACCGTCCCCATCCCTAAAAATGTCACGATCAAAATAATAACCCTGATAATATTTCTGAAATATCGATATCTGAATCTGATAACCAAATAATAGAAGGTTTAATTCAAGAACTAACCTCTAATTTTCCTGAAATTGATACAAATAACGGTGAAATAGAAATTAGTAAATCTTGTATACAGGATATGGTTCCCGGTTCTACCCAATGTTTATCCGATCTATTCGATAAAGCAATTAAATTGGGTCAAAAACAAATTTTGTGCTGGTATAATTACTCTTTTGAATTTGAAAATAAGGTTAAAAGTCTTACAACGGATAGTAAGATTAAAGATAAGACAGCAAGATCTCAAATATATAAAGAAATGAAACCTTTTCTACCTAACATTACTGATGTAAATTTGCATAAGAAAACTGAAAGAGCCCGAAAAATTCTTAAACTATTTGGAGAAGGGGGTATATGTATAAATAAAATTAAATATATTACATATAGTGCAAGTACTATTTCGGGTTTAAAAGATACTCAAATTCAGTATATAATAAGTCAAGTGAATTCAAAAACCGTTGCCAATAAAAACGATCAGACTTCTGGATCAAATTATTTATCAAAAGTTGAGGCAAGTGGGAAAACAACGCTTCGAGTCTCTGACTCATTAGTCACATCTTCTAATACTTCAAGTATTGACAAGGATTTCTTTATTGATGAGACAAATGAGATAAATGAGATAAATGAGATAAATGATATAAGTGAAATCTTATAATTATATTCGTTAAAGGTAATTAATCAAATTTGGTTAATCACGTACATGTTTACATCATTATTATGATCAGGTGTATAAATTGAAATTTTAATCTAAAAATAATTTTTGTTCTACGCTGTATAACATATCAATTATCTGATTTATTATGTAGATGAAATATCAAAGGGATGAAATAATATTTTTTTATTGTCTTTATACTACTTTTTTTCTAAAAATCGAATTAGCGGTTGTTAAAGATGATTTACTATATTTTAGCGGAGCTAACATGGCTAATATTACGATTTACTATATTTTAATATTATGATTTATTATATTTTAGCGGAGCCTTTAGTGTAACTAAAGATATTATGATTTACTATATTTTTAGTGTGATTCTAGCTCGACTCTAGCACAAGTATGATATTTTACATATAATTATATAGAAAAAATCTAGCGTGACTCTAGCTCAACTCTAGCACGACTCAACCACATTTAAATCTATATATTTTTGCATACAAACTCGTTTCATACAACACAAAAATCCCCCTAGTGTAGATAATGTATCGATACCTAATATATTTTTACACATCCACTCTAACTTCAAATACGGCAGGATTCGATCATCTCAAAAAGATGAGTGGCAGATAGGATGTATGATATATTATATAGACAGAAATAAAAATAAATTATACTTCAGACACATGTCTTTATTACGCTGTTAATGATTTGATTTCTTTTTCCAGATCTAGAGGATTCATCCATCCGACTCTGATGGACATAGGATCAGAGATTGGTACAGTGGTGTCAAAGACAATGAATTCACGATTTCGCAAATAGTTATTGATAACTCTAGAAGCTTTGTGTGGATCTTCCTCTATATATTGACGAATAATTCATTGAATGTCATCTTTTGAACCTCCACCATCAAATATTACAAGATGGCTTGAATTTTCACGAATAATTTTTGAGAGTAGAGTGAATTTATGTGTATTATAAATGGCGGAAATATTGCTATGGCGACCTCTGGTAAAAAATGGGATGATACGATTTTGAACTGACTGGGGTTCAGTACACACATCCTCAAAAATGAATACTGTACGTCTTTTTGAATTTTTGTACTGCTTTAGATCTGGAATTTCATCAGGTGTAAATGCAGTAAAAGTAACATCTTCATAGTACGGTTTGGAAGGATCTGCTATTTTCTTATAGAAGTTTCGAAGTAATCGGTATTTGGGTTCATTAATATAGTGCCCTACTAATACAATATCATTACACCTTATAGGACGTTCACCAATTATCTTTTTTCCCTCTTTCATATCATAATACTTATCCCCGAGAAAGAGATTTAACAGCATATTGGTCTTACCAGTGTTTGATCTCCCAGACACTACAATATAGAAAGGCCACTTTGGAGCATCTTCATCATCTAAAGATTTTTTCGGTGGTTTGATCTCATCAATATTATATACATAAAAATATTTCATTCTGACGGTAACTATATCTTTATGATTTTTTTTCTAGCAAAGTAATCTCCGTTCCAATTTGGAATGTACGTGATTTTTTTTCTTTCTAATATACATATACATAAGTATAAACATGTCAAATCTTGCAGAAGCTCAAATTTACGCTGAAAAATGCGGGGGGAAATGCCTCATTCAAACCGGTCCTACAACTTTCTTATTTTCGTGCCATAAGAATCATTTATGGGAGAGGCCACTTGAAATTATTACGAAGAGATATGACTGGTGCCCCCTATGTCCTCATTCGAAAGGGGAACGTACATCAAGGTATATATTCGAAGATCTGTTAGGAAAAAAATTCCCATCTCGTGCACCAAAATTCTTGAATGGATTACAGCTTGATGGATATAACGAAGAATTGCAACTGGCCTTCGAATTTAATGGTCAGCATCACTATGCTCTTAATCCAATGTTTCATAAAAGCGGGCAAGATTTAGATGAGCAAAGAAAGCGCGATCAAAAAAAAGCGGAATATATGTAAGGAGCAAGGTATATGCCTCATTGAAATTCCATATGATGTAGATCTTTATAACTTTATCCGAGAAGCTTTAATCAAGAACGGCTACCTCCAAGACTCTTCCAATTGATAATGATGTATTTCGAGGACGATAATGATATTTCTGGATAAATTCGTCTGGTGGGTACTCTAGATTTTCCATATCTACGATTTGCAATTCTTCCCTCTTGAATGGTCTACGTGGATTTCTACCCATTAAATGTCTTGTAGATTCAACCGCTTCCTTTTCAAGATAATATAAGACTGGCTGTGGAGGATTTTTTCCAACGACAATTTTTCTGATTCGATAAACACGTAAACTCCAGTATGGATCAGTTATACGACGTCTGTGACCCCCTTCCAATTCTCCAGGTTTAAATAAATATCGAACATAAGTACCCTTTGGTAGTGTTATCTCATCTTCTCTGATCGGTCTCTTGGGTTTTATGGAAGGTTTAGATATCACTTTTTCCAACGTCATAGCATGGGATGGGGTCATTCCAATTAATCATGTAGGACTGTTGTTCATATAGTCAAAAATTACTTCGAGAATCATATTCCACAATGTCGAACGTTCTCCTGCTGGTAATTTAGATTCTATTGCATATTGAATCTTGTATATTATTTCTGCTAATCTTCGTTTCAATGCTTTGACCAATGCTAGACTTTCGAAACTATAAAGGTCGACAACCCAGATAGAAACATTATATCGTTGCATTCCCCGCGAAAAATATCCAGAGAATTCTTTACCGCCATCCAGCATCAATAATTTTGGCCATGTAAGGGGGACGTAGGATCTTCATATATTTCTTTTATAGCATTCCAAACTTCTAGGCTATTTTTTGATGTTAATGAACGTCCATTTTTATAGCGTCCTGCGATATCTATAACCACTAAAGTATAGAGGTATATTTTTTCACCATCCTGATCATCATGACCATGTGGCAATAAATCGCACTGATGAACTTTATTAGGAATGGATACCTTCTGGAATCCTGCTCCCGCTTTGCATTTTTGCGGAAAGAGATGTATTTGATGAACATACTGGTTCTTTAACCACTTTGAAATATCTCGTAGGCGGAAATGATTGTATCCTTCTTGTTGACAGGCTTGTAATAATTTTTTAGCATTTGTAACAAATCCAGGTACGTGGTAGTAGATTATACAAAGAACGATTTTTAATTCCTCATCTGCACTGATTATAATACTAGGTACACTCATTGCCATGATTGCGAAATGTTATAATCAATACTATAAACCAAGCGGAATTTTTTGTCATGAGTTTCAATTTCGATTCAGCTTATTTAGCATTGCTGAAAAGTAATCACGAGTTGAGGAAGGAACTTAATGCGGAGACAATTATAAATCAAACAAACGAGAAAAAAATTCGCGTTCTCATAAAAGAGCTAGAACAATGCAGTAGGACCATTTCATTTCAAGATACCACAATCATAGCTCATGAGAAAGAGATCCAGGAACTCAAATCCCAGCTATCTGATTTGCAAAAGCGTCTCCGATCTGCTTTAAAGGATGTAGATAAAACAGAGAGTTATATACTTGTTCGAGAACAACAGTTGGCTATACTCGAAGAGGAAGTAATCAAGTTAAAAAATAGAATTCGAAAACTTACATCTCAGAAGTATAATAAATCCGCAGAAATCAAAAATTCACTTGACATAGTTAAGATGGCTCGACCGAATCCGAATCAGATTCAACCACCAGTTCCCAATGAGATTAATACAATATTTGATACAGTTCTGGATGAAAATGGGCATATTGATGATTATATTCGAAACTACCAAATATCGGCCTGGAATCAAAGAGATATTCTAAACAAAATTATTACAGTTAACGATTCTGTAAATAGACTTCGGGATATAGCTGAGTGGGAAAATACCCAAGCGCAAGTCCAATATCAGCAAGATGCTAATGCAATTAATCAGTTAAATAATTTTGCGACCCAGCTTCAGACCCAAAATCAGGGAGATGCGCAAATTATCATACAATTGCAGGCTCAGCTGGATACGGCGAATAATAACTTCGATCTTCTTAACCAGGCCCACATTTTTCAGACCGGGCAACTACAAACATGTCAAGCCGATTTACAAAATTGGCGTAGAAAGCATGCAAAGAGAAAAGGTAAACATATCAAGCAAAAGACGAAGCATAAAAAGTGGGAAAATAGGGAAAAGGATTCACGGCTAAGAATAATAAATTTAAATCAACAAATTTTAGCGCTTCATAATAATCCACTAAATATGACAGCTATAGGTGACTTGACTGGTATTACACCTTTACTCGCAAATGTTGAATTCTATGATGGACAGGTTCAGCCTGATGAATGGTATAATAAAATTCACGCCATACTAGCTATTCCTGCGATAACTAATCTCAATGATGCCAATAAAGTAGCTATCTTAAAGGGTAGACTTGGCAGAAAATATGCAGATGTACCCAATCAACACGCGGGAAATGCAATTGATACTCCAGCTCGCTTTATTGCATGGTTACGTTATAAATATCAGACAGAAATGATTGGAACACAGCAAGTTGCTCTCCAGAGGTTAGCTTATGAAAAATTTTTATCTAATGATACGCCGGAAACATATGAGACGAGAATACGCCCCCTATTATTGGGCGTTGCTAACGATGATGCTAATGCCTTGTCATTCCTTATGAATCATTTACCCGATGAGCTTTTCAATCGAATGGAAAGTGCAAATCCCGCAAATATCAATGCATTTTTCACCGACCTCAAAAAATTGTGGCTCAAACGTAGGCCTTCTTCATTTAATTACGGAAATGCGAATAGTATGAATGGGATGGCATTTCAACCGCCTCAGCAAATTGTACAACAACCTGTATTCCAACCATCTCAACAAATCGTTCAACCACCTCCGCAATTCGTTCAAAAAACGCCCCCAGTATA